AAATTAAAAACAAAATTAATTAATACTTACTTTTTGTAGGTTTTTAAATATTTTAAATTTTAGATTTAAATTTAAAGTAAATAAAGGATTTAGATGTTTATTTTAATTAAAAATATTTTTATTAAATATTTTTTTCTTTATTTTTAGAATAACAAACTTAAAGAATTAAATTTAAGATAAATGAAGAATCTATTAATCATTTTTAATTAAAAATGTTTTTATTAACATTTCTTTTTTTATATTTTTAGAATGTTGAATTTGAATGAATTGATTTAAGATAAAATAAAAGGTTGAATAGCTATTTTTTAATTAAAAATATTTTTATTTTTTTTTATTTTAGGATATCATTTAAATAAAATATTTCTTTTTATTTTAGAAAAAATAATTATTAATTAAATAAATGCTTCCTTGATTTTTAAATTTATAGTATGTTACAAAAAAAATTGGAATTAAAAAAATGGTTATAATTTCATGTTAAAAATATATAACAACTTGAAATTTTTTTTATTTTAAAGGTGAAAACGAGCTCATTATAATTATAAAATTTAATAGGAGATTTATTTTTCATTATTTTTGATAATGAGCTCATAATATCATTTCATCAAATCTGTAAGATTTGTTAACACGTTATCTGAAAATTTTCTCTATTCCTTAGTCATAAATCTTTCTAATTTAGTAAGATTTTTTGACATTTAGCATTTTACATTCCCTTTTATAATAGCTAAGGTTGCTAGATGAAACCTTAAGGTTTTGCAAGTCGTCTAAATAGAAAAAGGTAAAATTTAGCGAAATTATATTAAAATCTTATTAAAAAATCTGTGAAATTCTGAAAAAGATAAAACTATATTAAAACCTTAGTAAAATTTAACAAAACTATAATTTAGACATTTTGCTAAATCTAAAATGAGTTTAGACAAGTAATCTTAATAATAGTTCACAAATTTTCTATCAAATTTAAGTCAGAACTGTTTGAAAGCCAATCTATGACTTCTGATATATTATTATCCTTAGCAAGATAACTTGTATATTTTAGATCATTGTCTTGCTGAAAACACTAATTATCTCTGAATATTTCATTGATTTCTAGGATATAGTTCTTTAGAATTTCAATATAAAACTTTGACATTCATGATTCAATGTAAGAAAACAAATTTGTTTGTTTATAATGCAAAACCCACTCTATGCAAAAATTTTTGCTCTGTCCTTTGACATAAATATATTGGCTGAATTTCTTTGTGCCAATACTTTACTGTATTCTAAAAGAATTAAAAGGCTGTTTTATCTAAAAATAAAGTTTTGTTCCAATTATCATTAATATATTATTATGTTTATTCAATCTGTTTCTGTTTATGGATAGCAATCAGCATTGAAATCACTTTTAAAAACGTTTTTTTATAGCCATAGATAGTTAAATATCTTAAAACTGTCAAGAAGGATACTTTAAGGCCTTTGCTGCCCTAATTTCTTAGCCAAAGTCCTTATTGGTATTGAAATATTCTTCAGATACTCTGTCTACAGAACTTAAAAAATTAGCTAGTAATCTTTCTTAAATAATCACTTTCTTTTTTTTTGATTTACTGTTTTATTATTATTTATTATTTTATTATTGTCATATTTAGTGAAAAAGAAGAATTTTTGTAATCTTATATAATTCAAATCTTTTATATATACTCTCTTTTATAATTATAAAATAGTCTAATATTGTCTTTTTTATTTCAAAATTATATTTTGCCATACAGTAGTTCAAAAAAATATGTAATACATCAATTTGAGATCAGAGTTTATTTATTATAATCATTACATTGATTTTTCATTTTAGAAAATTAAAATCAGATAAATTTAACTATGTGAAATCATTTTAAATTACATGATCAAAATTTTAGATCTTTTTGCAATATACTGTAAATAAAAAATATTTTTTAAAAAAATTAAACTATCCAAAATTTTTAATAATAAAAAAAAAGTCTTAATTATTAAAAAATATAAAATAAAATTAAGGCAAAAATAGCTAATATATAAATTTGTTAATTTACCCTATTTGTCATATAGTCAATTTTTTAATTTCTTAATACTAATAAAAATAATGTTAATGTTGGTCATATCACATGACATATATAGAAACTGTCTTATTTGTATTTTATTTTAAAAAATGTTAAATTTCAAAATTTTCATTATACAAAAAAAAAAGATTAAAAAACTAAAAAACACATTCTAATTAAAATATTAAATATATAGATCTCACTTTTTTACATGTTTAATAAAATATCAAATTTATAATATGTTAATCAATAGCAAATTTCTCTTAAATTTACATAATGTAATGCATTTTAGTTTAGATATTTATCTACTAAGTCTTTCAATCTGCTGACTTAATTTACAATTTTAATACCTTAATAATAAAGACAAAAAAATTAGAATTAAATAATTATTATATATTTTGTGAGATATTATAATTCATACTATTATTTCACGCTTTATTTATATTAAATAATTAAAAAAAGTAGAGTAACTGAATATATAATATTTGTTTGTCACACTTAAAATTCATTTGAGAAAGTGAGTATAATGTCTAATAATATATTATTATATATAAATAACATTTACCTCAACTTTATTTTTCTATTACATTCTTGATTAATATAATTCTTTGAATAAGTGATTTGTCAAGTTTTATATAGACAACTTTGTTTATTACATATTCTCAAACTATTATAATATTTTTTAACATATATCTGAACTTTAAAAGTGAGTTGTATTAAGATCAAAGTAAAATGAATAATATTATTACATTCACTACATTTGATTACCTCTTTTTATCAGTTATTAAAAATATTAAAAATTTTTTATAAAATTTATATATATGAAGTAACAAATACTAATCTTTTGTGAACTTAAACATTCAACAGTATTATATGTATCATAATATATACATTTTGGTATAAAGTTTTCAATACTCTTAAAATGTTTTTCTTTTGGCATTTTTGAGCTGATTTGATATAACAACTTTATCAAATTTGATGAACTTTTGAATTTTGATAGATCAAGTTTTTTAAGAATAGTATTTTAATAATAAAGTATATTTTAATATTAGGTACAGTCTTAATATAATAATCATAATATTATTAAAATTGTAAATACTAAATATTCAGTAATAGATATATTATCAATTTCATTAACATGTTCACATAATTTAGATATTAAAGCATAAATTTGTTGTTTATAAAAAATTTAATATGTGTAATTAAGAAAAGTTATCATTAAATAGAAAGCTTTTTTGATATATATATATTAATGCAAAGTTTTTGACAAGAGTGACTATTATACTAGTAAAGCATCTTCTTTTTACATTAATATATTTAACTAAAACTTTGAATAAAAGTAAATAAATATATTATTGATAACTTTACAAAGATCAGACTTTTGTTATTTTAACAAATAAGTCATTCTCAATATACTTACTAAATTACTAATTTTTAAAAAAAAAATACTTCCCTCATAGATATTCTTGAAAATAGCATTAATTTGCACTACTTTATTTCTTCTAAAAGTGAATTATTTCTCAAGGCTAAAATATATAAAAATTGTAACTATCTTGTTGCATTAATGAGTTTTCACTAATACTTGGTATAATTTTAAAAGATCTTTGATAGTTTTAGTTGTCATTTTTTAATTACAACAGTTTGAATATGTAAAGCATGAGTTAATCAAATTTGAATTTATATAGGTATAATATATGATAATTAGCAAATTATGCAGATGCGTTAGCTTTCTGTGACTTATTATCATCATTCTGCAGATATTTTATTATATTAATTATAATTTCTGCTTATTTTAACAAAAACAAAAACAAAAATTTTTATTATTTTATTATCCCAAAAAAATTTAATTGCTATCCATCATATTTAATTTTTTTTCAAAGAATCTTCTGAAAGATTTTTATTATTATAAATTGAGAAACTTCTTTCTATATTACAACTAAATACAGATAACTAAATAAATGCAAATTTTGAAAGAATTGGTAATTTATCTTCAAGAATCATCTAATATTTTTCTAAATCAATTTCTTTAACTAAATTTTTTAATTGCAATTCACAATAAATTACTTATTCATAAAACAATTTATTAGAAGAAATTGCTAATTCTCTAATAATGCAAAATATTTTCTTTTCAAAATACCAATTAATATATATTTAGAATCAAAATTTTGAGGACGGGATGTAAGAATTAAATTTGTTTTAGCTTCTCTAAAGACTGATTGAAAAATAGGATAAAATTTATATGGACTAAAACTATGAGAAGTTATAGTAGCATCAAGTTCTAAACTAAAATTTAAAGAATTACAATTGCTTTCTAAAAGTGCAGTAATTATAATTTTTAAAATACAACCTTTACTTACAATTTAAATTAACAAAAATTTTTTATTATTAATATCTTAGCTAATATTAAAATAAAAAGTTTTTATTGATTGTATCATTTTATTTTAAAAATGTTAAATTTCAAATTTTCATTATATCAAAAAAAAAAAAGATTAGGACTAAAAAACACATTCTAAATTAACAAATATTAAATGTATAATATTTCTTGCATCGATTGAATGAATTCTTCATGTTCATCATCATCATCATCATCTAATCCTTGTAGAAGATCAGACATGAATTCGGATTTATCTTTGGTAGACTGTGTCTAAAAATTTCAAATAATATTATATAATATATTTCCCTCTATAACGAAGTAACCAATCAAAACCTTCGGCTACTTCACTATATTTAAGGGTAGACTGTACATTTTTAGAATTTGTCATTTTACTTGAAATGAAAAGTAATTGTTGATATTTGTATTAGGTTTAGCATCAGTTAAATTCTCTAAAGATTTTTTTTTTATTTCCTTGTAAGTCAAGAATTTTCGCAAAATATTTATAATAATGTAATGGTAAATAAACATTCATATAAAAAATATGCGTAAAATAAATCATTATAACAAAGAAAATAAAAAATTTTCATTTATAAACCATCTGCTGGGTCATCCTCATACTCCAAATCATCAGTATATTTTTGTCCCAAATCATCTAATTCTTCTGTTATATATTAAGTGCCATCATCATTGACGACCATTTCTGTCACTTTCTTAACTTCTAAATCTAAATTCCATTTATTATATATCTCAGATAAATGGAGCCTAAACTAAGAGGTCCGATTAAGATGATATAATCAGAAGTAAAAATGGCAAGAGATAAAAAGAAGAAGACATCCGATTTGCTTTTACAATTATATTCTAATTTTCAACATTCCACTTCGTTTCATATTCAAGAAATTTGGAATTGCAAGTACGAATAAAATCTCTTTTTGATATACCGCGCTATTACGAAAATCAAATTCACAAAATAGACATATGAATTGTATCAATGTGCCGATATATGAAGGAATCAAAATGGTCGGTGCATATAATCAAGCATATCTGTTGCGGAGTTATTATTGATGATTTTTACGATATTTTTGATTGATGATATAGTAGTAAGTTTGATTGGTTTTCTAAAATTTTGTTTTATTGCACAAGGCGGATTAAAGATTTGTAGGTGGGTCTAAGAATCGAATCCGGGAACCTACCTTCGGAGAAAACTAAGCCGACATGATCCACATTACTCCTTAGACGCTACCCCGTATACAAAGTTCAACAATGGGTCTTTATTTTTATTATAACTTGAGAGTACATGCGGGAGAGTACATGCTTTATTTCTGACAACGTCCGAAACCTCTTTATTTTTAATTAAATAGTGCGATCTAATTCGCAAGATGGAATAAATTTGATAATCATGTGATTTTGATTTAATCCTCCGATTTTAATAAAAGTTATGTTGAACTATTACATAATTGACTCAAGAAACCATTAGACATTTACATTCGCCATTTAAAAATAAATCTGATGAAATTATGGCTGTGACAAATTGAAAAAAAAACCATCTCAATGAGAAGTTTCAATTATTCATAAAATACACCAATTAAAAACACTAAATTAATTAATGTATATATATATAGACCAATAAAAATCCTGATTTTTTATTTCCTTTTACGGAAAAAAAGAAATCCATTTTCTCTTTCTTGATTTCTTATAAGTTGTAATAATTAAAAGCAGTAAATGAGGAAACAAAATGAAGCAAATTGATAAAAAGAAGCAGCTGAATTGTATGCATGGAAACACAAAAGATAGAAAAAAAAGACAAAGAAAAAGCTCAATTAAAAAATCAAAATTCCAGTATCCTACGCAAAGTGAAAATTATGTTCATTTAAATATGTTAATAATAGAGATTTATACTTTAATTTTCTATAATCAAATTAAATGATCTATTGCTATATGTGTAAATAAAATGCTTAGACATAAAAATACTATTATGTTATCAATATTGCGTAACAAAACCGGTTTCGACGGTATTACATTATTCTTTTTATATTTACAAGATTTGTTATTATGGTCAAAAAGAATAAAAATAATCATATTCAGTCTATCCACCTTTGGCAACTGTGTAGTCATCAAAATGCGAAGCACAAAACAAAAACAAACAATATTGTTAATATTGGACCACTAAATTCGGAATAGTTCTAACCATATGAAAATAGTTGAAAATAGTAAAAAAGTTAGTTTTTTTAGAATGAATACTTATTACCTTATTTAGTATATGAAATTATTTATATTTCATGATGATATAATGAACCTATTCATAGAACAAATATAACAAATATAACGGCCTGGGAAAAATGTTAACTTAATCAATGATATATAAATTAAATAAATTAATGGAGATCACATTCCATAATTACTTTATTTTTTCGATTGTATTCAAAAAAATGAACTTGACAACTCTTAAGGTAAATTTTTACATTAGACACTGATAGAATTTATGTTAATTTTGCGATTATCGTACAAATTTTATTTATTAGTTCCTAATAAAAAGGAGAGGGACCTACATAACGTATGATAATTTGAAAATGTATTTTTTTATAAGGGGGAGTGTAACTATTGAATGAATTGATATCTATCTACTCAAAGCATTAATCTTCCACCTGATAATCTTATTATTCAAAAATGGTAAAATGCAATCAGTAACATAGATGATGCGTGAAGACTTTTTGATCTACGAAATCTTCTATGTATCGAACTTTATTCCTAAAACCAACATCGATCAGATATTCGCAAGTGATAAATATACTTTAAATATTCGCGTCCAGATAAATTCTCTTATCTATCGACATGTATGGAAGAATCGGAGAACAATATTTAATTTATTTTTTTTTTGTAATTTGTTAATATTGTCATAGAATATTGCATTAATATTATTATTATTATTATTATTTTTTGCGTTAACCTGACAAATGACGTTTTGAATTTAATGCGACAACACGAACCTTAATTTCCTTAACTTCCTTCATCCAATTAGAATTATTATATCTTTTATTAACAAACATTTAGAATCGGATATGACGCGGATTTATTTATTTAATTTTCTTTTTTTGTGTATTATTCTAAATAGGGAGAAATAAAAATAATCATTATTATTATTATTTTTTTTTTTTTTTTTTTTTGATATTTTGTTGACAAAATAATACGGACATATAACGCTCCGAATGAGAGATTTTGGGTCATCAGCAACTTTTATGGAAAGATTTTTTAAATGTAAGTGATCTAACTAAATTTGACGATCATTAGAGCACTAAAAATAGTATTGTTCTTATTAAACAATATTTAAACAATATTTAAGATAAGATTGATGTTGCATTTTGTTACATTTGTTTCAATTAATTTATTTCACAATACTACCCTACCGAATAATGAAAGTCCAATCAAAACAATTACACAAACAATACTTGTCATTCATATTGTAAATATTGTAAAAAAAATTATATAAGGAACTGAATTATTCCTACAATTTTTTTTTAAAAAATAATTTCTTTCGTATTCATAGTTTCTTAACATATATATATCACATATACAGTTTGTATAAATTGTGTTGACCACATTAATATAAACTGAAATTATCATCATCATTTAAAGAACTTGTTTTTTATTTCCTCGAGACATTTATTTTCAATTTCACTCATTCTTAAAGAATATAACAATCATGATTGTCTCAATTCCAGCTGGTAAATATTCTTCTTTTTTCAAAATGTCTTGTCAAGTAATCGTAACTTTTATCGATGAAAATATCTAATCCTTCGTTCACTTTTCTTTTCATTAGATTACGATATCTTGTATTTCGTATACTGTTTTCGTCCACTCATTCAATTAACGTTATTCTCTCTCCTCATGATGTACTGTTTATGGTATCTTCGTATGTATCAATTTCCATTTAAAATATTTCTTCAAGATTACTTGCACACGACCCACGATTAACCTCCTTCTTTAAAAATTATTAGGATTGGCATTAGAAGTTATATTAGGACAACCAATAACGCCCTCATTAAAACAAACCGTAAACACACCACAAGCCTATCAAACAACACAAAGGAATATCGACGAAAATAACTATCGATATGTTCATAATTTGTGGCCAATCTCAATAATATAAAAATCAAATTTTCCTTATTGAAAACAATTCATTCGAAAACAAGACAAATACCAAAATTAATTTTTTTTTTTTTTTTTCTTTTTCTCGAATTTTGTCAGACAATGAAAAAAAAAAAATTTAATTAAACTTGGCGTTAATTTCCTTTTCTTTCGATCAACATACATACATACATACGCTCATCAAAAATTTTGTTACACCAAAGTAAATAAAAACCATTAATTTCTCTTTCTTCTCTTTGTTTGAAAATCCTATTTTTCTTGTAGTTTCTTGTAGTTTAGCACCAATTGTATTTAATTTTCCTTTTCCTCTTTGTATATATTCTTCGTTTCTTTTTATCTTTTTTTTTTTTTTTTTTTTAATTTTTACCAATAATAAGCGCATTTTAATTTTCATGTTGAAAAAATAAAATCATTTATTTTAATAAAAAAAAGTGCCCTTTTTTTTAAAAATTAAAAATTATGCTGATCATTTCGTAATGAGTCTCTTTGTTATAAGCGCGTCTGTAATTCTAACCTCTTTTTGTCAAATTCATCAATGTTCTTATACTCTGCCTCTACCACGTTCAAAAACCAATTATTAAAGATATCAACTTGATATCATCATCATTCATATCATTTAGGACGATGTCTATGATGAAATAATCACTGTACATGAACCTATTAATATAAATTCTAATATAACACAAAACCGAAAAATATGCCGCAGGATTCTATTGACTTCAATACGAAAATATCGTCAACATTATATATAGCCTTTCAATATAATTTATCGCAGAACTAGTTAGATTGACAAGTAATTAATAAAATAAAGAAATCAATCGAATATTAATGTCCTTAATATTATGAACTACTAATTCCACACAAATGTTGCGTAACCGTTGGCTGCGTGGCCTGCGGCCGGCTTTTCTAACTAAAATTTCCTTCTGAACTCTAATGCTACGTCCTAACCCTAATGCTATGCTACTAGATGCAATACTGCGTACCCAGACATACAGCACTTTCTTAGCCCTAACTTACGATTTAATACAATTATATTTAATTAATTTAAACTCGAAAATTTTAAGTTTTTTTTTAATAAGCATATATGTTTATTATAAAATTTTATAATTGTATTACAAATAGCGAGTACTATCTTAGGAAATAAAACAAAAAAAAGGGGGAGGGCTTCGTTACTACAGCACAAAAAATTCGACCAATGGGATCCAATGCGAACTATAGTTCCTATGGGATCAAACTTCAGAAGGTGGGAGACCATATGGTAGGAAAAATCATATCCTGACGAGGAAGTACTTATGGATTAAGTAAGTGTACAACCGTTCCATATTAATGGCATAGTTCTCTTTTTCTATATTGTTCAACTTCTTGAACTAATCTAGTATTACCATTAAAAGATTTCATTGATTTATACCATTTAAAATTACCAGCTACTTTTTGTTCTTCTAAAATCACAAGTGCTTTCTTTATTATAGTAATTAATCATCAAATAACTTATTATCTTCATCAGTTGATTCTAATGTTTCAGGCGAAACTATTTTTCAACACCGAACAGAGAATTTTCTATAATCCGAAACTATCCGAAACCCTAAATTTGGAAAGATTTTTGCAGATCAATTTGGCGAAACTAGTTTCGCCCGAAAAACTAGTTGATTCATAAATTGCAAATAAATAAATCATAATCATGTGGTTCAATATTTTCTTTGTTTGCTAATAACATAGATTATAATAAATTTAAAAAGGTGGTTGTATATTTCTTTTTATATGATTAAAAAATTCAAATAGTACGATTCCTTTTTCTTGAACTAAAATACTTACATACAGGAGGGTGAAATAAATATTGAATAATTTTTTCGCGAAGATTTATTACATCAATTTTATATGAAAATTTATTAATTAAAGC